CGACTTCTTTGTAAAGACTTTTGTGAGACTTCTTTGTAAAAGACTTTTGTTGAGACTTCTTTGTAAAGACTTTGTTGAAGACTTCTTTGTAAAGACTTTGTTGAGAACTTCTTTGTAAAGACTTTGTTGAGACTTCTTTGTAAAGACTTTGTTGAGACTTCTTGTGTAAAGACTTTGTTGAGACTTCTTTGTAAAGACTTTGTTGAGACTTCTTTGTAAAGACTTTGTTGAGACTTCTTTGTAAAGACTTGTTTGAGACTTCTTTGTAAAGACTTTTTGAGATTCTTTGTAAAGACTTTGTTTGAGACTTCTTTGTAAAGACTTTGTTGAGACTTCTTTGTAAAGACTTTGTTGAGACTTCCTTTGTAAAGACTTTGTTGAGACTTCTTTGTAAAGACTTTGTTGAGACTTCTTTGTAAAGACTTTGTTGAGACTTCTTTGTAAGACTTTGTTGAGACTTCTTTGTAAAAGACTTTGTTGAGACTTCTTTGTAAAGACTTTGTTGAGACTTCTTTGTAAAGACTTTGTTGAGACTTCTTTGTAAAGACTTTGTTTGAGACTTCTTTGTAAAAGACTTTTGTGAAGACTTTCTTTGTAAAAGACTTTGTTGAGACTTCTTTGTAAAGACTTTGTTTGAGACTTCTTTGTAAAGACTTTGTTGAGACTTCTTTGTAAAGACTTTGTTGAGACTTCTTTGTAAAGACTTTGTTGAGACTTCTTTGTAAAGACTTTGTTGAAGACTTTTCTTTGTAAGACTTTGTTGAGACTTCTTTGTAAAGACTTTGTTGAGACTTCTTTGTAAAGACTTTGTTGAGACTTCTTTGTAAAGACTTTGTTGAGACTTCTTTGTAAAGACTTTGTAAAGTTCTTCATCGTAAAGACTTTGTTGAGACTTCTTTGTAAAGACTTTGTTGAGACTTCTTTGTAAAGACTTTGTTGAGACTTCTTTGTAAAGACTTTGTTGAGACTTCTTTGTAAAGACTTTGTTGAGACTTCTTTGTAAAGACTTTGTTGAGACTTCTTTGTAAAGACTTTGTTGAGACTTCTTTGTAAAGACTTTTGTTGAGACTTCTTTGTAAAGACTTTGTTGAGACTTCTTTGTAAAAGACTTTGTTGAGACTTCTTTGTAAAGACTTTTGTTGAGACTTCTTTGTAAAGACTTTGTTGAGACTTTCTTTGTAAAGACTTTGTTGAGACTTCTTTGTAAAGACTTTGTTGAGACTTCTTTGTAAAGACTTTGTTGAGACTTCTTTGTAAAGACTTTGTTGAGACT